CATACACTTACAGAAATTACAGTGCTGTGTCTATGGTCACAATAAGTAATCTTTGAATGTTTCAGTATACAGCCAATGTGATTTTTTGGTTTGCATGCACTTCTAATAGAGCAAATATGAATGATACACACTAATCTATTCAGTGAAGTGCCTTTCTGTAATTTGTCATATGCATAAGGGAGTGGTCTCAGAGATTATATTTCACTGAATGCTGCTAGGAGTACAAGTATAATTTTTTTTTCGATAAACATATTGGTTACTGCACTTTCTTCCACTAAAACTGTTTTAATTCAGTCAAATATTACCCCGTATCTTGAGAAATGAACTTGCTAGTAACACCAAAATTGAACTTGGTTGACATTTCATAGTGAATGATTAGATTCCTAAATTCAAAGATGTTTGAGTTATTATAACCACAAGAAAGAGACTGTTTTAAGTGAAATTTAATAAATATCTTGAAAAATATACAAAGAACATGTACTATAATCAAATTTGGCCGATATTCCAAAGTAGGTAATATGAAAGAAATTGTATAAAAACTATAATGCGTTATTCTAAACACAATAAAAGTTTTACAATGGAGTCAAAAACAACAATGGGACAAACATTTCCCCCTCACATACCATGCTTTTCATCACCAATGATACAAACATGGTAAAAACGTTAATCTTTGTTTATTTTGTGCCATTTTTTCAGGTTTACAGTATTTTGGCAGAAACAAGAAACCCATTTTGAACTAATGCTGACCAGAAACAAACCATTTATTTTAGTTTATTTTTTGTCAAATTATGATTTAAGAATTAAGGACCAGACTACATTAGATAATGAATATACCAACCTGGTTCATAGGATTCTAACTGTTGCATTTCCAGCATGCTTCTCTCTGCAGCCAAGTGTTCCAACTGTTCCGTATAATATCCATTGAAATTCAATCGATAAATAATGTTCATCATATTGTGTTCAGATTCAGTGTGGCTGTAGACACTCAGTTTGTCCAATAAATCAATCAAATACTTGGAGAAATTGGTGTCAAATCCCTC